AAGTTGTTCTGTGATGATTTCATTCGCGCACGTAGAGTCAGAACTCTGACCATCCTCTCCCACTTCAGAGAGGTGCTCAGCTAGTACACTGCTGAGTGCTTGGGTCAGCGCCCTTTTGGAAAAATGCCACATGCATCCCATTTGCACCACCTAGAAAATGCCCTGGCACGTACAAGCCATGTTTTGGAGTGCATGCACAGGGTGCAGGGTTTGGAATATTTTAGCGCAAAACCACAATGAATCAAAAATTTAATTCAGTCCTATACGCCAGTCACAGTAACACTTGCAATGCAATGTGTCGGAAAGTAACACAAGCCATGGACTATCCAGGAGTGAAACGCCTATGCATGCAACAAGCTTCTGTGCTCCTCTGGAGATCAGAGCTTAATTTGTAATGAAAGAGGTGCCAGGGCTCAAGCAACCTTTTTTACTTTCATAACTGATGCAGGAAGCCTAGAGGTGCCGGGGCTATGAACTGCCAAGCCGTGAGGTGCCAGGGCTCATCCCTTGCACAAATTAAGCACTCCTGGAGATAATGTTTGGCCAACTGTGAGAGGCACGCAGAGGCCAAAAGGAGATGTTTTCTTCCCCTGGCACATACCCTCACTCTGGGGCTCAGATCTACTGGGAACTGACCTTTCACTTCAGTATAGTGGTTTAGTATGAGGCTTCTACTGAGCCTGGAACTGTCGGAGGAAAAGCAAGGCTACAGGTGTTATCAAAAAGGAGAAAGTTTCTAGTTCCAAATCTGGAAATGGCTTAAGGACAGAGATTTCCAGGACATGCAGCAAACCCAGCAGCAACTCCCAAAATCCAGAGACTGACAAAATATGCCTGAGGTTTACTTTCTAGCCAGATATCTTGGTTTGTTCAACAATCAGATTTTTCAAGCTCCCTTCCAACTTTGAAAGCCTCTGTAGCAGAATGATCCCTCTGAGGGACTACAGGTCAGTCATTCCAGAAGATCCCAAGATGCTTCTCCTTTACAGATTATAAAACGCATAAACACTAGCACACAAACCAATCTAAACAGCCTTTCCGCAGCTACCTCCTTAGAGCTCTTCCATGCAAAGCAGGGAGTTTGTGAAAATGTCCAATTCAACTGTTACAAGCTGTCTGTCTCTGAAGCGTTTGGGGAATGCGAGTTCCAACAGGTTAAAAGAAGCTTTAGAAAAAAAACTCTTGTCTTGTGAAATGCTCACTGAGCTTAATCACTAATCCAGCAGGTTTCTGGAAAAATCAAACTCTCTACAGAGCTGTGCCACGGAACATACACACAAGCCTGAAGAAACATGCACACAAACACTACACATCTGGGCATAAAGGTAACACACATACCCAAAAGAGCCACACACTGCCTGCCCGGGCTGAATGCAATGGACATGGGCCATGTGTGCTGTACATACACATATATGTAGTATACACAGGCGTAAAGCAAGACACAACCCTACGATAAAGCAGAGCACTACAGAGCTCTGCACAGAATACACATGGTATGTAGGAAACATGCAGGGTATACTCATTCTCAGACTATCTCCCAGGTCCTTCTTTCCCTGTTTACTGCCTGAGGGCAGCCCTTTCTTTTTGATGTCAAGAGTGGGCCTTGCCTGAGTCCAATAGGCAAAGAATAAAAACACCAAGTTGTAGATTGTCTTTTTATTGGACTAGCTACATTTGTTATGCCAGACTCCATTCTTTTCTTCCAAAAGCAGTGAAATGAATCTCTGCTTTCCCTCCACACTGTTGGCAGGAATTGGTGCCTGGAAGTAAGTGCTTGGAATGAGCCCTCCACTCCCACAGAGCTTCATCCCCACATGTCCATCCTCTTAGAAAGATCCACTATAACCTAGAAAGTACAAGCTGTTGCACACAAGCCCCCAGTCGCTGGCAGCTAAAGCCGCCTATGCTCGGTTTTCTCAAACATGAACCAAGTGGGCTGCAATGCTGCAACACGCTCAGCTCCAGTCACGCAGTGTATAGAGGCCTAGGTACCAGGACTACATATCATAATAAGGCATTTCTCAGCCTTGCTGTAATACAAATACACAAGTTAATGCATAATCCCACCCAGCCAGTAGAAATCCCTCTCAGTACAGCCAACCCTTATGGGGCGGGGGGGGGGAAGTCTTACTCCCCTGGGTGGTTTCGCTGAAGGCCATTTTCATTGGTTACAACACAACTTCTCCTGCCCGCTATTCCTGTGAGCCAAACCCTCTTTGTCCAGAAGAAAGCCCTGGGGAAAGCAGCCTCCACTCCCACCACTGCATCTCCACGCTGCTGTCCTCTTACACACATCTACTTTTACAACACAATGACAACCTTCCTGTTACACACAAATCCCACCCACTGGCAGATAAACAGCCACACATTCCCTGGCTCCTTCAATTTTTGGTAACCTTGTGTGTATGGGCCAAATGGCTGGGTGGGTGTGGGAAACCTAGCTCAGCAGTTTCTGTTGGTACTGCATCAAAACAGAGTGCAGGGAGAAGCCTGGAAGTGCTGGAGAGCTCAGAGTCCCTGTAAAAATCCCCAAATATTAAGATGATTCCACCTACAGAATTTTCCCCTTTTCCCAAAAGCTAGCCTGGCAAGCATCTGTGCCAGCACCTCTGCAAAGTTCCTGGTAGGGCCACTATCCTCAGCCAGTACTTCCCCTTTCAGTCCTGTCCACTGCAGAAACCACCACCAGAGATCCATGACATGTCTTCACCAAACGTGAGGCAGTGCCGCCTTGTGGTCTGCTCTAATCCACCCAGCATTTGCAAGAGACCCATGCCACAAAACTCTTTCCATCTGACAAGGGAAAATAGGGGGAGCGCAGTAATAGAGCATGGGACAATTTATCCCGTGTGACCCAAACAGGCTCCTTTATAGCACCCTTCTCTTCCATCCATTTGAAGGATGACAGTGGCCACTCCAGGCACAGACTGGTCAGCACCTTGGTCTCCTTGGGCTGAGTAGCATCCTCTAAACACCACTCAACCACCACTGGCTTAAACAAGGGATAAAGCATTGGCCCCTGTGGACTACAGAGTGGAATGGGGGGGCATAGACGTGCTGTGGCTGACTGGGTATTCATTGTGGTAGCTGAAATTTTATGTCTCTGGAGATTAATCTCCTTTCCTGAAACACTCATCACTCCTGTTCCTGCCCATGGGAGATTCAGGTGCAGAGGAAAAGGCAAACTGGCCCTTCATCTTTATTGTTATGCTACAAGTGGTAAATGTAGCCATGGTGGCTTGTGCTACTGCTGTGACCCAAGCCATCAACAGTGCAACAGTCACTTTGCTCCAGAGACTAGATTTGTTAAACCCTTGAACTGGCTCTAATTAGAATTCAATCACAGCCTCCCAGGCTGATAAAAGCTGGGAGCAGCAGCCTCCCCACCCACCAGAAGAATTAATTAGTCAAACCAATAGTTAATTCAAAGTTTGGAGAAAGATGCTGCCCCTCCCCCACCCCACCCCCAGCAGAGCCCCCCAAAGGGCCTGTTTCAGGGAGCACTTCCCTCAGACTTGGCAAAGCTCTAGTGGAATTTTCTAGAACATGTGGCAGTTTCCCTCCTTGTTTACCTTACAAGTTATCTCAGTGTTTGTTGCAGGTCTTCCTAATCTAACTGGGCTCCTCCACATCCTACCGTCAGGATTCGCATTTCTAGAGCTCCTCATCCCAGAGAGCCCCACAGCACCACTGATCTCCAGAGCTTTGGGGCAGCATGTGCCAGCCAGGTGGAGAATGCAAGGAGGAGGGGAAGCAAACCCCTACTCTTCTAACTAGGGCCAGGAGAGAGCCAGTGTCTATCAGCGCAGACAGGCCCTGAGGGTGGGGAAGAGAAAAGACTTCTGCTAAATTGGGCTGTAGATTTGTAACTTTGCCATTTTCTCTCTCCCCACTTCACCAAATCCTGTCCCCGGCCATTCCCTCGCTTATCAGAACCGCAGCAAAACCCAGGCTGCATTTTGACCTGAGCTCTGACCTCAGGGCCTTGGTGCTACACAGATTAGTAACTTAAGAACAAATGCAGATGTAGCTTCTGCTTCCATAAAGTTATAGTATAACTAGCCTAAATAATAAATAATAATTCTTCAGAGGAAGAGCTCTGCCTCACCTCTGTGGGCACACAAGTGCTGGAGTTCAGCCCAGTTAGTCACACCGCAACCCAGGAAGCAGGCCATGACCTCAGAGCAACAGCAGGGAGGACATATAGGGCAACTTCATTGGGGGCATTTGTTCTTTCCTCCCCACATGGAGAAACCGTCCTGCACCCCCTGCTCTCCATGTAAAGCAGGCTACACCCCTACTGCTCTCTAACTGGTTAGGACCCCAGCACACTCAGAGGGAAGGGGGGTCCCAGGAGGGCTGCGAGTCGTGCTGCCTGAGGCGGCCGCAGGAGACAAGGGTCATGCTGGGACTGGGACAGATAAGCAAGCAAAGGGGCTGAGTGCGGCGGGCGGCCAATGTCAGCGCCTGCAGCTGCTGATCAGGTAGAGCCCCGCTGCCGAGCTAGCGCCTCGCTGCTGAGCCTGGAGCACGAGAAAGGAAGCACCGTGCGCAGCCACTGGGGGTCACTTCTCGAGCCCGGCCAGCCCCGCTCCCGGCGGGTTAGTCGGCTGCCCCCTCGGATTTTCTCCGTGGGGAAGACGAGGGGCGGCCGGCTTGGCGCAGGGGAGATCCCAGCCCTAGGGAGGGAACAAAAGGGCTAGAGGGACTCCCCGCCCCCCAAGCGTGGGGCCAGGCAGGCTCCGGCGCCGCACCTTGAAGGCAGCGAGCTCCCAGGCGGACTCGGCTCCGCAGGGCTCGGAGCAAGTGCCGCCCGCACTGACACCCCCTGCCCCGCAGCGGCCGGCTCGGCTCCCGGGGCGGGCAGGGTCCCGGCTCGGAGCCTCTCGGCGCCCCCGCAGAGCCCAGCGCGGGGGCGCCGGGCAGGGAGCCGCCGGCCCCGCAGGCACCTGCTCCGCGGCGGGTCCGCCCCCAGCCCCGCTCCCCGGCCCCGCACTTACAGCCAGTTGCTGGCGTTGGCCGAGAAGGCGGCGAGGATGACGAGCAGCAGGGAGCGCAGGGAGTACTGCGGGCTCATCCTGGAGGGCAGCCGGGCAGGGAGCCGGCGGGGCAGCTGCCCTGCCCGAGCCAGGAGCCCTGGCGGCGGCGGCGGCGGCGGGACGACCCCCTGCTCCGGGCGGCAGGGCGCCCCGCCGGGCAGCCGATCCTCGGCGCCCAGGAGCTGGCAGGGCAGGTGCGGCGCAGAGCTGGGGCGCTGCCCGGCTGATGCGCCCGCGGCTACCGCTGAGCCAGACTGTCAGCTCGGCCGGCCGATCCCAGGATGGAGCCGCGGGGAGAGCGAGCGGGGGGGCGGGCCGGGGGCGGGAGGAGGAGCGGGGGCGGCCCCAGGATGCGGCTACCTGGGCGGGTCCGCAGGCCGGGGACACCCCCAGGGCGGGACAGGGACGGCTCCGGAGAAGTGCTGCGGGCGGCGCAGCCAGCCGGACGGGGCGACCTGGGCCGGCGCGTCGGCTCTGCCTCCTCCCAGCCCTGCTCCTCGGCGGGTCTTTCCACAGCTCGCCGCTGTGGCCAGCCCCCCTCTTGGGGTTCAGGCCAGAGCCCCGGTCCTCATCCTGCGGGGAGTGAGAGAGCCAGAGCCCTGCCAGCGGGAAGGCTGGGAGGAGGGTTAGCGCCCCTTGGTTCTTGGCCGGGTTCGGACTGGGCCAGTGTGCCCTGATCCCTTGTTCCGGGACCTTTCCTAAGCTGGCTTCTTGCTCTCGAATTTCAGCTGCCTTCAAAGTCACTGGCTAGCTGCAAATGTTGAAAATGTGAGCTGAGTGCAGCTGAAAGGAAGATGTCTGCCTGAGTTTGCAGAGAGCCTGAAACAGCAGCTCTGAGTTGCCCGGTTCATTTCAGTAGGTGCTGACTGACACACCAGTGAGGATCCTTCACATGCCGCCCTTGCACTGCTCTGTCACTGCTCAAAGCAGGTGAGAAAATGGACAATGACACCATGAGGAGCTTATGCAGTATTATTTAGATTCCAGTAGCACCTATTGGCAATAAGTGCAATCAGGACTGTTTTGTGCTGGGCACTGCATGCACCCAATCAGGGACAGACACTGCCCCAAGGAGACAACAAGCTCAATAGACAAGACAGACAGAGGATGGGAGGAAACTGGGGCACAGAGATGAAGGGATTTGCCTAAGATCACCCAGCAGGTCAGTGGCAGAGACAAAATTACAACCCAGGTCTTTTCACTCCCAGGACTGTGGGGAAAATTTACCAGCATAATTATACAGCTATACCAGTATAACCCCCTGTATGCACACTCTTATTCTGGAATAAGTGTGCCCACAGGGGGAGTTTACACAGAAATAATGCCAGTAAATTTCCTTGTGTAGACGATCCCTCAATCCAGTTTCTTAACCACTAGACCATGTTGCTTCCAGAGCTACATGTTCTATGGTGGCAGTTCACTTGGGTACCCTGAGTGGGTGAACTTGGGAGATATGGCCCTTTATTTTTCTCTTTCTGTCCCTCTTGCCCCCTGCCTCTCAAGGAGCTCAGCCGTGGTATATTCAAACTTGAGTGAGGGAGAGCTAAAATCAAGGAGTCCAGAGATCCCATATCATCACTTTTGAACACCCGCACAAGCCACCAACAGGGGTGTCTCATTTTCGTGTCAAGTGGGCAGATATGTTGTGGGTGGACCCTGGAAAGTACCATTACCTTCTCTCCCCTCCCCCTTCAACCCCCAGATCATGACCGCTTTGTTCTGCTGTTCTGATGTTTTCTGGTGTCAAGGGGTTTAGGATCTCTGTTTACCCCTGAAAGTGAAGAAGATGTGGGAATATTCTGGGTTTTGGGGGGCTCTCAGACCCTCTATGAAAATCAGTGGGAGACGTTCCACTGTCTTGAATGGCCTTTGGACAGATCTTGAATGTAGGGAGAATAAGTGCAGAGAATTCTTGAGGGAAGGAAGACATAGAATAGCCCTATTTCAGGATGTAAAAATAATTCTTATTTATCTGTGAAAAACTGTAATGCTTGGTTTTTAGTTTTAATAATGCTCTTTTTGTTTCCAAGGACTGTTATGAAGAGGCCTTAAAGCAGTTTAACCCCACTGTTTTCAGAAATTTCCAAAACTACATCTAGAATTCCCAACTTGTGTTTTTTACCTTTGTAGGGTTTGCAAATTGCCAAATTCCATTAGCTAAAGATTGTTAGCAATACAGTTGACAGTTGTTCAAGGATAAGACTCTCCTCTTTTTGACAGTTTTATAGCTAGATTCTAAGCTTCCAATAACAGGGGTTTATGGTGCATCCAGGGACTAAATCTTAAGCGTAGCATGACAACAAGACTGCCTCTCAACTAATGTTAAAGGCAGATCCTGGAAGAAAGTGGGGGGAGAGTAGTGTAAGATTATGGGAACAGGAAGGTAGAACTTGTGCTTAGAATATCTGAGTATAGAAAGTTTTAATTCTCATTAAAGTAAAGGGGATAAATTAATGGCAGCCCCTGGGACATTTGCGGGCAATTCACATCTAGTTACAGCCGCCAATCAAATGTCTGGTTTTCATCTTCAGTATTTTAATAGGCTTAGAAATTCACAACCAAATGGAGTTGGGAAAAATTAGCTAACTCTCTGATGTTTTTATCAGCAGGGAAGAACTATACAAGCTGGGTGTTTGCACAGTACCACCAATGACCTGGGTGTTTCTGTAGAATTATCACTGTGTCCAACAACCGGTTAAAATTCTTGTGTTAGAATGCTCTGTTAGGTTTTGAGTTCTCTCTCATTTGTACAGGGAGTGCTGCTCCCAGGAAGATTAAGGAAGATGACTGTCAACCAGGTATCAAGAATTAAATCTGAGTCTGAACTTGTCTGGGGAAGTGAATGGTTCAAAATCCAGCTAGGAATCCCCAACAACCTGGTCTGACTGGGTCTCACCTGCAGGAGACCCCTGCCCATTCACTTACATACAACACAGATATAAGTGGCCTATTATTGGAAGTGGGTGGCAGAGATGATACAGCGCCACAAAGTAAGGTGTCTGCTTAACATGAAATCCAAGATCCAGAGCAGCCAATATCATCTGGCATGACAAGAGCATTCAAAGAGAACACATTACTTAGGTCCATTACTGAAACCTCTTTTTACCATTGAGAAAACCTTGCCAAGCTGCTGTGGAGCTATTGGAGGGAAAAACACCCTCTTTTGTCTTTCCAACTTGATTTGCAGGAGCACCTGCTTGCAGTAGAGCAATAGGATGCACTTATTCAAAATACAGCAACTCGCATCCTTCTAGGCACATGTTTGTCAGAGCATATTACTCCTATTTTAAAGTCTTTGAATTAATTCCCTGTCAAATCAAGTATCTGAGTTCAAAATTCGTTGATTTTCAGAGAGGTTCAAAATTCTCCTGAGGTCTCTAACCCTAATCTTCAATGATTCGATGATTTATATTCAAGATCCTGAATGACTGTACCTGACTCTGCCCAGCCACTTTCTATCTTTATATTCCTGCTGATTATAAGGATCTGAACTAGCAGCTTATCTTGTTTTCTCTGCTAATAAATGTGAGTCAATGGGAAGCAGGACATTTTGTAACCATGTGCCCCAGCTATGTAGTTCCCTGCCTGGTGCAATCAGGGATGTTTAATCCGTCTCTTCATTCAAGACAAGACTAAAGAAATATAGGGTTACTACAGCTTGTGACTGCTTTTCAGCTTTGAGTAGCGTCATTGTGAAGGGAAGACCTATTTGAAAGGCTAAAGGGAAGGAAGAGGTTGGAGCTACATGAATGGCTGTGGGATACATGGGGTCCACCAAACGAAATCAAAAGCACAGTCCCTATAGTAAGGGAAAATCGAATGGCTCTACAGGAGGTGCAGGGCTGGGTACACACCACTGGGAGCTGGCCTAGCAGTCCCAGCTGTTTTCCTTCTTCCTTAGCTGCCCACTGTGCTTCATGGATGCCAACTGGGCCCTGGGAGGGAATGGCTGATCTCCCCTCACACCCAGGGGTGTTGCATAGGAAGACCAGTGGGTTCCCTGAGCATGTTGCACAGTGCCATCTTGTGGCCACTGCCTGCATTTGTCAGGAAGTGCAGAGGCCGGAGGAAGTAGAGGGGAGAGACTTGGAGTGGAAACCTCCAGAGTTTAGGGATTCTCAGAGTAGAACTCTGAATCTGGTTTTATCCATCACAGTGCTGATGTGATAGTTAGACAGAGGCATTGTGCTGAGTCCTGAGACTCCCTGCATTATCGCTGATACTGCAGTTTGGCAACGAGCAGTGGTTTGAGAAAGAAGTTTGAGAAAGACAGCAAGTCCCCCTGTATCACTGCTCTGCCTTCCAGCTTAAATACAACCAACCTCTATGCAGAATAGAAGGGGCAGCTGGACTCTTCCAGGGAGGCTGCCAATGGCTTGCCTGAAACAAGCAATGGGATGCTGACCCTCTCTCCCCATCTCATCCTTGCTTACAACCACTTCCTGCCTCCTCTTCCCTTTGTCTTCCTCCTGCAGCATTTCATTCTTCCCCTACTCCCTTTACCTTAGCCTGGGAGGCCTGCTGGCTTGAGTGAGGCAGGTTGGCCCTGGTTTCTCCCCCCTTCCTGGGTAAGGCTGCTGCTCCCAAGTAGAGCAAGGTGAAACAGACCTGGAAACTACAATGCAGCATCTTTCTCCCCTGAGCAGCAGGAGAGGAAATCTGGGATCTTCACCCTTCACTCTCCCAGGTCGTGGGTGAAAGTCAGTACCAAATCTTCACCCTCCTCATCTTCCCCAATTGGTGAGGGGTGAGGAGCAGTAATGCTATCAGATCCGAGGTGTTCCCCTGCTGGTTTTAAGATCAAATGGCCAAACTCTTCAGTTGTGCTGCTCCTTCGTATGATTTAGAGTGAAGCAGCCTCACCTGCTGAGTCTGTAACCTCCACCTGCTACAGTCAGTGGTACTTTGTGATGGGTCGAAGCCCTTATAGAACTAGGAGTGAGGGAAAGAGAGCAGGTTGGCTAGACAAACTGCCAATCATCCAGAGAGTCGAGGCAGGGCTTCTCTTCTCAGTAAAGGGCTCTGGGCAAGGAATCTGATGATGTTTTAAATAAAGTTTTGTTAATCCCTCCCCTCCCCTGCCCAACTGGGTCCTGCTGACTTATGTGACCAGCCTTGCTACTGCAATCCACACTCCTCCGCCTGCTCCGAGGCCTTTGTCCAACTGGAGGTAGGTGGTAGGAGCTCCTCCTGTTTCACATGTTGAAGGACTGGGTCTGTCCACTAACATATGTCTCCAGGAGAAGCGAATGGGGAAGGGCA